ACACACACACACACACACACACACACACACACACACACACACACACATTAGGAATGAGGAGTGAATCCAAGAAAGATATACGATTTGTCTCTGCGGATTGTGAAGAGTAGAAAGCAGAACATCGATACTGAAACAGTTGTTTTCGGGATTTTTGGCTTTGCACTTAGTTGAATTCCTTTTGTCCTGTTTCCTTTTGACAGCTGTTGGCTGGAGCACTAAGAGAGAGACTGCTTGTTGTCCTGTTTCTTTCTGACTGGCTTGGTGATGAATTGGCTTCGGACACGCAAAGCGTAAGAGTCACTTTATCTACAATAGTCTTCTACTGTGACCTTAACAGCATAATAGCACATGAACCCAGACTAGAACACCTCCTTCCACTAGCACAGACCGACCAGGATTGCAGTCAGTTTTAAACCTTTTTTCAAATAAGCTTATTCCTGGAAGGGCAAAGCATAAAAATGTCTACAAAATCTGGCTTTCTGCTCCGAAGGAGAAAACAGGTGGGCCTCCTTGTTACCTCTTTTAGTTATGGCTCTCTCTGAAGTTTCCCTAACAAATTGACATCCATACGTCCCACACAGAATTTGTAGTAATTCATTTACATCCGCACTCCTTTTTATGGAATTAAAAGTTTGTAAATGCTCACAGAATTTTGGAGTCCTGATCTATCATCGTAGCAGTTACCATGGAGATACAGCAGAAATCAGCAGTTTCCAAGATCCCTTTTATTGTTTCCCAATGAAAAAGGTGCATTGTATGTACAAATTGTGTCTACTTGAAACAGGAATTGAATTGAATTGAATTAAACTGAATTGAATTGAATTAAATTAGCTTTATCCTCACATGTACTCAAATGAGTACAGTGAAAAGTTTATACGTTGCCACTTACAGCACCATCTCAGGTACAAAGGTTCCTGGGTGCAGCTTCCTCAGTTACAAGATCTTAGAAAATAGAAAAATAAAATGTCCAGCATTGCAGAAATAAAAGCCCACAACAGAACCCAGGTATTAATATATGTAGTTTCTAGCACGTGAAAATGCATCACACCGTGAATCCAACTGACAATTTAAAATTGGTTTCCAGTGTAATTATTACCAATCTGGATTATTTAATAAATGATGCCCAACAACTGAATTACAACTAATCATGGAAATACTGCTCTGTGAATAGTCACCTTTTAGCAATCTTTTACTACCAGAGACATCAGTGAAGTATAAATCACCCGCACGATATGAAATCTTGGCATGTTAACAGTACATCTTATTATCATTTGCAACTGAATAAGAATTCTCTGTCATATGCTGGGAAAATCTTGTAAAACAAAGAAAGTGTTCAAGTAATTTGTGGTCAGCTCTCTGTCCTCTTGAGACCGATTTTTAAAAAAGACACAAAAACAAGTTTGCTACATAGCAGTGAACCATCCAAGAACAACGGCTTCACATCTGCAAAAATGCTGATGTTATCGCATCAAGTCTTCAGGAAAGGAGATGAGTCAAAGCATTTAAGAGGACAAGCAAGCATGGCCATCAATAGGCCTCTGGGACACTGACAGGTTGTGGCAATAAGACTGCAATCTATTCTAAAGGGAATGAAGTTCAATCCTACCTTGTATATTTCAGAAAATAAGCTATTCTGGGCTTTGAAATAAATAAATTACCATAAAATTATACACGGTTCTTGGTTTTGTATAATGGGGAATTGCATGTCAAACAAAGAAGTCATTAGTTAGACCTCAGCTAGAGGATTGTATACATTTCTGGACAGATTCTGCTTTTGGGAGAATGTCATGATCATGAAGAAGGGATAGAGAATTTATTACGATGTTACTAAGGATGAGAGACATTTGTTACCTGGAGAAATTGGAGAAGTTGGGACTTTTCTCCTCAGAGCAACAAAGGGTAAAAGGAAACTAAATTGAGATATTCAAAATTATACAGCATTTTGATTGGGCTTTTTTGACATTGAGATGAAGCAGGAACAGTTAACTGTCAATCTTAGTTTTCAGCCCCAGCAGCAAGACCCTGATTGGTCAGGATATAGTATTATGACCAGATCCAAGGCAAAGTTCTCCAAATTATTATGGTTTCGGACATATGCTCCAAATCATTAAGGTTCCAAGTGAGGAGGGATGAATGGACTCCCTTCTTTATTCACCCACTCCCTTGGTTAGTTGAAACAAGGTTTATTTTAATAAGGATCCCTCCCTAACGGATGCCTTTCTCCCAGACCAGATAAATTTGCAATATGCAGCAATAAACAGATTTCTCTAGGAAGTAGGTCATTAACCAGAAGTTAAAGATTTAAAATAATTGGCAAAAGATTTAAAGGGGTATGAAGAGTAAATTTTCCATACAGAGGGTTGTAACGATCTGGAATGCAATACATGAAAGGATGGCAGAAGCATGTCCTTTTTGGAAATCGATTAACTTGAAGATAATAAGGGAAAAGGCTGGAGTGTATGATTAAATTGAACTGCTCTTTGAAAGAAATGGTGGGGCACCACAAGGCTGAACTGATCCCCTTCTGTGCTGTAAGATTATACAACTCCAAGAAAGTAGAAATGGGGAGACTGGTTACGTAAACCAATAGACTAAGGGAGGTCAGCGAAGAATTTTTGAGTTATCCTTAATTGACTTCTTGTCAATAAAATTGACATGACTTCTTTCAGGATATTACATGGCTTGGGGATGGGGTCAGAAATGCAAAACATCATATTTGTATGGAAGAGGATAGGAGGATGTTTCCTAAGTGTCATATTGTGTACACTCACATTTGTTTATGACTGGCAAACTGAAGGTAATGTTCAAACACCACGTAAAACAGTAAAAATGCAATACGTTTTTCCACACACAATCTTCACACTCAAACTCATTTTATTGGCAATATCAATCCAAGTAGGAGTAGTACATACATTCTAACAAGCAAAACAAACCAATCAAAACAAAGCAAGTTCTTGTAAGATACAAAAGCCAACAAAAATTACTTCAGTCTCTTTTGAAAAAAATTCTGGAATTCACCCTCCCTTTGACAAGGTGATCCTAGGATTCCCAACTGAACATTTTATTAGAGCATTTTAAGGACAGTAGTAAATCACCACACATGGTTGGTTTTAATCAATTCACAGGTTGAATATCACATGTTTCCCCAGATGTAAACAATTGTTCTTAGTGACCTGTTCCTTGTATATACATGTTTAATTTGCTGGTACTCTTAGCAATTAATCCAGTGCCCTTGATACTCACCTACCCCTCTCAACTGCCAAAGCATCTATTTCATCAAAGAAGAGGACAGAAGGTGCCACGGCTCTGGCCTTCCTAAAGATCTGCATTAATAACAACAATGGATTTTACAATTAGCAATTAAGACGTACAAAAACATATTAAAGAATTAATTTTATTTAACTTCTATAAAACTTCTAGAACAGTAGCAGGATAAAAATTTAAGTAGCATATTTGTCAGTGTGTTTCAAACACTGCACAAACCCACTGAAGAGGATTTATTAAAAGCTTGCAAAGAACTCAGGTTTCACAGATTATAGAAATAACATAAACAAGTGACTTAGTGAGGTCTCATGATATTGTTCATTGCAATTGACATTACTCTGCGGCATAGTTACAGAAGGAAAATATCTTTCATTATAACTTTCCAAGATGGCGTTATCCCTAGATCCCAAAACTACCAACCGAAACACTGTAAAAACCACAAGAACTGCGGATGCTGTAAATCAGAAATGAAAACAGAAACTGCTCGAAAAGCTCAGCATATCTGGCAGCATCTTTGGAGCGAAAATCAGTTAACATTTTGGGTGTGTGACCCTTGTATTGTGTGCAATAGCAAACTAGGCTATGGGGGTTGGCATAAGAACATGGGAGAGCTCAAGCCTTAAAGTTGTTAAAGCTGATATTGAATCCAGAAGGCTGCAGGGTCCCCAAGTGGAAAATGAGGCACTGAATCTCTCCCATGTCCTTACCCCAACCCCTACACCCCAGGCCTTGTTATCTCAGTCTGCTATTACAGGCAATCTATTGTTAGCCACTACCAGTCTCCATTAATAGCCATCACCTTCCTAGCCAGATTGTTATCTACTCCTTTGTCTGTCCAACTGCTCTTCTCTCTTTTTGGGTACTATCCCCAATCGTTTACTTCTTAACCCCTGCCCCCATCCTAACTTCTGCATATAAACCAACATTTTCCGAGCCACCATCAGTTCTGAGGAAGGGTCATTCGACCGGAAATGTTAACTCTGATTTCTCAATTGATGCTACTAGACTTGCTGAGCTTTTCTAGCAATTTCTGTTTCCATTTCAAATATTGTAAAGATGAAATTTGTCTTTTCCTTTCCCCTCGCACATTTTCTCCTAAACTTCAGGTTGCATACACTTCCATAAGTGACAGCTGAAAGCTTATACAAATATTCTCCAGATGAAATCCAAGGCTACATGATGATGGGCCATATTTCCAACATGTTCTCCACACAACAAATATCCATACACAAAATTTAAGTACTCTTCATCTACTGATGATTAGAAGTTGGACGACAAGAAGCAATATGGTTTGAACAGAGGAACAGTAAAAAAAAGTCGCCAGAATTATAGCATTGACACCAAACAGTCAGAAAAACTTAGAAGTGCAAGTATGTTAGCAAATTGGTGAGAAATATTGTAATAAAATGTACATTAACAATGGATTTCAATTAACATAGTACTACATGGCAAAGGTTGGGAGGATGCAGAACTCTCCACAGTTCAACCTCAAGTGGTTGAATGTTGTCCATATTTTTCATAGAAGGTCAAAACCAGACAGTTTACTGTTTAGATAAGTTAACAGGAGGTGCATCAGTGAGAGGTGGGCTGTTATCAGTATGAAGGAAGAGTGTGGTATGTATTCCAGTAAAGACTATGGAATTCTGGAAAAATGTATTGGTTTTAATTTGAGGATCTGTATTAATGGGAATGATCCTTTAGCAGTCAGCTGCTGGTGTTCTTTGAGGAGGATTTTATCCCTGTGGACATCAGGGTTTTCAAAGCATGCTAGCACAGGAAGCCACTCATGTTGAGCCAGTGCCAACATCCCAGAAACAACTCTCATGACTTCCCAGAGGTGGATATCTCTCACATGTTCTTGACCACTCCTGAGTCAGATTGAGCATCAGAACTCTGTTGTTGGGTAGGCCAGGACAAATGAAGCAGATCATAGTGTGGAGGTTCTCCTGTCCCAGGTGATATCTGCTGTTTTATCTACAGAATTCATTCTCATGTTGACTTTGGTTCTAATACATTGATGATGTTGCAGATCACTCAGTGTGCTCAAGAATAAAGAAGTAGTGCTGGAGAAGCTCAGCAAGTCCTGCAATGTCTGTGGAGAGAGAAACAGAGTAAACATTTTGAGTCCAGTTGACTCTGCTTCTAAGCCCTCCTTATGCCAACGTATTTTGGTGTTGAGTCATGAATGAGTGGTCAACCATAGAACTGGACTCAAAGTTTTACCATGGCCTTTTAAGTTGTTAATATTGCAACAGCAGCATCTACCACACAATGTGGAAAATTGCCCAGATATGCTCAGTATACAAAATGCAAGACAAATCTAACCCAGCCAAGTACTGCCACATTAGAGTGCTCTCGATCATCAATAATGAAACATGTTATCAAAAATGCAATCAAGAAAATCTTGCATAGCAATCACCTGCTCGCTGACACTCAGCTCCTCATTTCAGCCTTGGTTCAAACATGGACAAAAGAGATTAATTCCAGGAGATTAGGTAGGAATGACTACCCTTGACATCAAGGCAACATGTGACCAGGTTTGGCAGCAAGCAGTCCTAGCAAAAGTGGAGTCAACTGGAATCGAGGAAAACTCTCCGCTGATCGGAGTCACACCTAGCACAAATGTAGATGCCCGTGGTTACTGGAGGTTAGTCAGTCATCACACCCAGCTCCAGGACATCTTTGAGGGAGCTCCTCAGGAACTCTGTGAAGCCCAATGATCTTCAGGTGCTTCATCAATAACCTCCTCTCCATTATAAAGTCAGAATTGGGATGCTCACTGATAACTGCACAATATTCAGTACCAGAGACAGTAGGAACTGCAGATGCTGGAGAATCTGAGATAACAAGGTATAGAGCTGGATGAACACTGCAGGCCAAGCAGCATCAGAGGTGCAGGAAAGCTGACTTTACGGGCCTAGACCCTTCTTCAGAAATAGAGGAGGGGAAGGGGGTTCTGAAATAAATAAGGAGAGAGGGGGAGGCGGATAGAAGATGGATAAAGGAGAAGATAGGTGGAGAGGAGACAGACAGGTCAAAGAGGCGGGGATGGAGCCAGTAAAGGTGAGTGTAGGTGGGGAGTTAGGGAGGGGATAGGTCAGTCCAGGGAGGACGGACAGGTCAAGGGGGCGGAATGAGACTAGTAGGTAAGAGATGGGGGTGGGGCTTGAGGTGGGAGGAGTGGATAGGTGGGAGGACAGGTGAGGGAGGCGGGTACAAGCTGGGCTGGTTTTGGGATGCGGTTGGGGGAGGGGAGATTTTGAAGCTTGTGAAGTGCACATTGATATCATTGGGTTACAGGGTTCCCAAGTGAAATATGAGGTGCTGTTCCTGCAACCTTCGGGTGGCATCGTTGTGGCACTGCAGGAGGCCCAGGATGGACATGTCGTCTGAGGAATGGGAGGGGGATTTGAAATGGTTCGCGACTGGGAGGTGCAGTTGTTTAGTGCGAACCGAGCGTAGGTGTTCTGCAAAGCGGTCTCCAAGCCTCCGCATGGTTTCCTCGATGTAGAGGAGGCCACAACGGGAACAGCAGATACAGTATACCACATTAGCAGATGTGCAGGTGAATATCTGCTTGTTGTGGAAAGTCTTCTTGGGGCCTGGGATGGGGGTGAGGGGGGAGGTGTAGGGGCAGGTGTAGCACTTCCTGCGGTTGCAGGGAAAAGTGCCGGGTGTGGTGGGGCTGGAGGGGAGTGTGGAGCGGACAAGGGAGTCACGGAGAGAGTGGTCCCTCCGGAAAGCAGATAAGGCTGGGGAGGGAAAAATGTCTTTGGTGGTGGGGTCGGTTTGCAGATGGCGGAAATGTCGAAGGATGATGTGTTAGATCCAGAGGTTGGTGGGGTGGTACGTGAGGACGAGGGGGATTCTGGCATCTGCTAATGTGGTGTACTGTATCCGCTGTTCCCATTGTGGCCTCCTCTACAATCGGGGAAACCAAGCGGAGGCTTGGGAACTGCTTTGCGGAACACCTACGCTCGGTTCGCACTAAACAACTGCACCTCCCAGTCGCGAACCATTTCAACTCCCCCTCCCATTCCTCAGACGACATGTCCATCCTGGGCCTCCTGCAGTGCCACAACGATGCCACCCGAAGGTTGCAGGAACAGCACCTCATATTTCGCTTGGGAACCTTGCAGCCCAATGGTATCAATGTGGACTTCACAAGCTTCAAAATCTCCCCTTCCCCAACCGCATCCCAAAACCAGCCCAGCTCGTACCCGCCTCCCTAACCTGTCCTCCCACCTATCCACTCCTCCCACCTCAAGCCCCACCCCCATCTCCTACCTACTAGTCTCATCCTGCCCCCTTGACCTGTCCGTCCTCCCTGGACTGACCTATCCCCTCCCTAACTCCCCACCTACACTCACCTTTACTGGCTCCATCCCCGCCTTTTTGACCTGTCTGTCTCCTCTCCACCTATCTTCTCCTTTATCCATCTTCTATCCGCCTCCCCCTCTCTCCCTATTTATTTCAGAACCCCCTTCCCCTCCCCCATTTCTGAAGAAGGGTCTAGGCCCGAAACGTCAGCTTTCCTGCACCTCTGATGCTGCTTGGCCTGCAGTGTTCATCCAGCTCTACACCTCGTTGTCTAACATTCAGTACCATCGACTTCTTCGGTATCTGCAGAGTTGCATATGTCCAAATGTAGGAAAACCTGGACAATATCCAGGCTTGGACTGACAAGCAGAAGCAAAATTCACACCTCACATGGACCATCTCCAACAGAGAATTGAAAAATCTCCCCTTGACATTCAGTGGCATCGCCATCACTGAATACCCTACTATCACATCTTAGGGGTTACCACTGACCAGGAACTGAACTGTATTAACTACATAACTACTGTGACTAGAAGAGCAGATTAGACACTGGAAAGCAAAAAGCGACAAGGCACAAGTCAGGAGTGTCATTGAATATTCTACATTTGCCTGAATGAGTGCAACTCTAACAACTTCAAGAAACTGGACCACCATCCAGACCACGACAGCCCGATTTACTGGCATGTTATCCACAAATATTCCCTGTGTCTACCTCCACTCAGTAGCAGCAGTGTATACGATCTACAAGATGCACTGCACGAATTCACAAATGCTGTTTAGACAGTACCTTCCAAACGCACAATCATTACAGAAAGACAAGGGCAGCAGATACATGGGAACACCACCACCTGCAATATCCCCTCCAAGTCACTCACCATCCAGACTTGGAAATATATTGCCATTAGGGTCATTGGGTCAAAATCCTGGAACTCCGTCCCAAATGGCATTATGGGTTTAACTACACCAACTGGACTGCAAAGATTAAAGACAATTTATTGCCACCTTCTCACGAGCAATTAGGGATCAGCAATAAATGCTGGCCCAGTCAGTGATACCAACGTTCCATGAATGAATTAAAAATTGTGGAACACTAAAATAACAGTTTTGACAGGGGTTGGTCAAAGTCTCCATTTACTACTGTATGCTTCCAGGGAACAAAGATCTTCAGTGAACATTTTCTCAACATTCCATAGCTTTTAGCCTAGCAAGCCAGGTCCAAGTCATAAGCGTGTGTGAAGAACCATGGTTTTGTAGGCAAGAGGTTGCTGGTGAATGTGCTGAAGAGAACTGGTGCAAGAACTGGTACCTGTTAAAGTAAACTGCTAGCTATGGCTGGGCAACTGACTTGAACTCCAAGATGCATACAAACTATCAGATACTAACTGTGGAGTTGATTAGTTGTAGGGTTTTCAGACAAATGATTTTTAAAAAGTGCTTCTGCAATACGTCTGTGCACTGCACTGCGTCAAATATGCAGATTAAGTCAATAAAGGTGGTCCCTGTCTTCAGGCCTTTCTGGAAATCAGCTTCAACATGAGGTCAGTGTTAGGAGCTGAATTGAGCAGCTGCAATGTGTGCATAAACCTGCTATCAGGAGAGGATTAAGGGTGGACTGTTTCCAGGGTGGAACGTAGTTTGTTTAGCAGAAAGCATTCCAGGATCTTGTATTTAACTGACAGTCGGGTGAAAGCGTGGCAAGCTTCATGGGTTGTTGGGTGCTGTCACTGACTTGGCAATGACCACTATCTTGGATTGATGCAAGATGTTTGGAATGGTCCCCTGTGATGTGGAAGTTAATGTTGTGTGAGTTTCTTATCCACTGACCAGGGTTCATTTCCCCATACTCAGAACCAAACTTGAATTTTGCATGTATTTGCAATGAGCATATGACCAACTATTCAATATTGTTCAAGTACAACTTTCTGATGTTATTTCCGTCTTTTGTGTTACAAGTGAGGGTGGGGGTTACCCCTGAAGAATAGAAGGTTCTCTCATTTTGAACAGATATTTGGAAAAATTAGTCAACATTATTTTAATCCTATGTACAGCTATTGATTTTAATTTGATTTTAAAAACTTTAAACAGAAAATCTATAGGCTACATCAAATATATTTACTTGAATATTGAATAATTACAAGTTTGCTTCAACATGAGCAGGAACGACAAATTCACAAAAACATTGTACATGGTATCAAAGCAATAATTTCCCTTTTCTAGCCACACACACTTGTGGCTTCTCTCAGTAAGACCATCAGCTATACTGAAAATTCAGATCAATTTGGGTACAATGGCTCATGCAGACTAGAAACATAATCTCAATTAATGGAGTAAGAGACAGTACAGTTTTGCTTCAACAGTGTGCTCAATTAAATCTCACATCAGAGGTATTCTAACTTATTGCACCCTCTCTTTATCAGCGTACATAAATGAGATCATAAAGTGAACAAATGAAACAAAGGATAATGAAGCATTTAACATCATTGTGGTACTGCTTATGCAAGTTCCATTATACAGTGCCAGTGCTGAAAGACACAGGTTTGAAACTTCAGTTTTCTTATCTTAACTCCATTTGGCAGGCACTGGAGGTCAAGCATTTCCTTATTGCTCTTCAAAACATAACAGCAATCAAGTTTTCCATCTGAAACTACTCTGATCTCAAGAAACCATACAGTCTGAGCACTTTAAATAATTGAAATCAAATTATATCCAACTCTCCCACTTCTTCCCTGATTTGTTCCCATGTTAATCTACTGTTAGGAGTACGAGGAGGACGTCCACAGGAAGGCAAGCAGGCACTGCCTTACAGGTTGGCAATGACAATGGCAACAGCACTCACTTGCAGTAGAAGTTTGAGGCAAATTCAGGGGACCAGTAAGGAAAGTCAGAAGGGTTGGCATTGTAGGCTTTCCATACATTCAGGCAAAACCTGCTGGAAGCAAGCTCCTGGGCTAGCATAGGCCTAACAAGTAGGTTTAAAGTTAATTCAGGATTTTTTTTCCTGGGAAAAGAGTGCTTCTATAAGCGTCACAAGGAATTCAGATCAACCTCGAATCTGATTCCCTTCTTTCAGCCAAGCCCTTCCTTTTTCACTATCACCAACAACCAGACACGGCCATGTGCCCCTAACTAAGTGGCCTCCAGACGTTTACTTGTGATCTCACTGGCTGGTGAACTGCTGGGTGGGACACTGCATCATTTTAATTAAAGAGGCCCTGCCATTGAGAAAAATCGAGAAAGGGGAAAATATGTTAAAAATTGTATGTTCAGTATTGCATGTAATATAACTTGATTATTTTCGTAAGAAAACTTTTTAAAAAAATGCTATTTATAATTTAGAGAGATTTACTTTAAAGGCACTGCAAAAATCTGTGATATTTTTCATACTGCTTTTGTTTTGAATTACCCACTAGAAATACTTAAAAGCATTTATCAGTAGAATGAATTAAAGTAAATGTTTGTTAAACAAACATTTTAAATCATCAAGCCAAGCAACAATAACATAAATGTGAAGAACAAGCATTCTTGTCCAACCTACCTCTCTCACAGCACGCTCAGATTCTCCTACGTATTTACTCATTAGTTCTGGTCCCTAAATAAGATAAAAAAGTTGAAGTTAGTCATTTCTTGATAGTATGAAAAGAGGTATTACAGGATTTAAGCAAAACAACCAAAAGTAACAAGAAATATTATATGCCATTACATACAGATTAAGATGACATCCTGTTTCGACTGAAATAGAATAATTCCTCCAATATTCTGTTACAATACTTGACAACACTCAAAATAGACAGGGGCCATAGGTGAACTCACTTCTGCAATCCCCAAATACCCCTAAAACTTCACTCTCAAGGGTGACCTGAGAAAAGTCACCTTCCCTCTGTTAAGTGGAATGGAAGGAAATGGTGAGTAGATTCTCCTCTAATCAGTAGCAGTGGGGAGGTGGGAAGAAGGAAGAGGTTGCGCGGGGTGGGGAGTGGGGAGGGAGGTTAGGTGGATCGGGGGGAAGGGGGAGAGGGAGGATGCATGGGGGTGAGAGGGAGAGGGAGATTGCATGGTTGGGGGAGAAGAAGGAGTCTGCAAGGGCAGGGAAGACAGAGGGAAAATGGAAAGGAGAGAGAGAACAGTTATAAATCTGTCAACAAAGGGAAAATCAGCTAAGGAGGAGCTAGGAAAACTTGAAATCACTAAAGTAATGAATTACTTGCAATTTATTATTGAATTCTAGATTATTAAAGCAAATATTCAAGAACTACTGTATGGAAAAATTCAGATGCCATTGCAATGAACATTGTGTCAATTGTTATATTTAAATCTGAGTTGCAGTGAAAAGGATTAAAGGATTAAAATATTCCAATTTTGTGAATATGCGATAGAAAATGCATAAGCTACGACCTCACCAATTAACAAGGCATGTTTAGGATAATGACTTTTTGTGTGTAAAAGTGTGTCAGTTATTCGTAAAAATATTTGTTATTAAATTATACTTATTATCATATGCCAATTTAAGTATTGTGGTGTCTAGGAAAGGAATGCTTTCTTCAACTGCTGCAGCTTTAAATTTAATAATTGAAGATATTGAAGAATTATTCAAAATGTGCTCAACAAAGTCCAAATACCTCGCACAAGTAATGTTGTTACGTGACTGAATCATCGAATACAAGACTGTTTGTCAATATAAAAAAAATCCCGAAAATCAAAAATAAACCCTCAAAAGGAGCCCTCAAAAAAATAAATATTTGTGCCCTGATACCCTATCATGCAATCCTACTCAAGACTATATCAGTCTCTTACAGAAATATTGGCATTGTACCAGCCATTCTAAAATATCTATCCTTCCAATATGAGAGTGAGCATGATTCTGTATAACTTGGCTGTTCCTCAAACTGGGCTATTCAAAGTATTTCAAATGATACTTCTTCCAGCGCACTGTTGCTAGTCACCAAAGTACTTGTATAAGCCAGCTAAGTATCACCTGCATGGGTTTCTTTGGGGATGGTGGGAGGTGTCGTGGCGGCTACTCAACAAACAGTGTTTCACATTACCTATTAAATCCTACAGTATTTTTGGAACACTTGTGGTAACGACTCAAAATGATTAGAGTCAAGGAAGCAGGATTGTACGGATCCAGATTCTTCACTGAAAGGCACCATTTTGCCCTTTCTTCTGCACAAGTACCAATCCATCTGAATTGATTGTTGAATTGGAAAGCAGTCCACATTTGTGTATTATACTTGTTACAATATGAACTTTCTTTCAACTGAGCTCATCTTTCTTTCAGAAAACAAAGTATTCAATAAGCAGGCTGGGAGTAAAATTTGATCATGTTGAGGGTCACAGTGACAGGACCAGAAGTGTGCATCTCTTTCATTCAGAGGCAGAGCAGTTCTCCATGTTCAATCACTTGGCAACCAGCTAATTGTATACACAGAGGAGACAGCACTGGCCAATTATATAGCCGGGTCGACCAGAACTTACCGGCCCTGCTGCTACCTCACAGGGTCGCAGGTCCAGGTGCCACATTTGAATGACACCCACACAGGCATCCCAATGCTCATCCAGGAGCATTTACATAACTGTTTGTGATCCCTGGATCTGTGGTCACTTACAATAACATTTTGTGAGGAGATCAAGAGATTTTGCAGAGACTTCATTCTAGCTGGAATCTAGGTACAATGATAATGTCACAAACCTGCCTGGCATGTTCCTCCATGACATCTGCCTAGCCTTCAGTGAACTTCAGCTCACTCCCCAACATCTAGCTATCATTCACCGCAGTCACTATTGGTCAGCCACGGTCAGCTTGCTGGAACAGCCATCCCATAGGGCTAACAATTACTCTTTTGTTGCAGTGGAGCAAATCACAGAACATAGGTTGCTCAACAAGTTCTCTATTTCAAAATCTAGTAAAATACTCGTCTCATCAGACTTCTATTTAGAGTCAAAATAAAAGATTCATTTATAAAATAATACATTAAATGCAAGAAAACACACGATGAAAAGGAATATGGATGAGACAGTATTCCTGCCCACTGCACGGAATCACGTCAACCACAGCAAAACAGTGAAAGACACAAATGAAGGTACCTTCATGCTACTTAAACTGTCTGCAAACTCAGGTACAATAGTATCTCAAAAAAGGTCTGTTCTACTTGTCAAACATTCTAACATCATTAAACTCTAAATTCAACCAACTTAATCAAGGAAAAGTGTGTCACTATGAGTTTGATCCAGACACCAGGTTAATATTTTGAATTGGATCCTGTAGAATACTAATGTAAAGGTTCCACCAGCGACAATATTGGCTAACTTTCCCACTACTTCAGAACTTCATATTAATTTTAGCAGTTCTGAATTTTCCTTTTCACATCAATCCTCAAAATAAAGACTCCACAGAAAACACATTACAAAAATATAAACAGCCCACAAGTAACTGCAGACAGAGCTGAGGAGACAGAGTAACATAATTTTGAAATCTGGTTTGGATTCTTCTCTGAGAAAAAAATTGATCATTCCAAGGAAAGTATAATATTATTAAGAGTCCATTAAGTTGGACACAATGCTACTCAGTATTGCTGGAAGAATACAAAAGGCAAAGCTTCAAAAAAATTCCTGACAGTAGGTAAAAGCAATATTATTTATAAGAACAGAAGTAACAGTTTAAGCAGTCCATTTTGCCTTTCAAACCTGCTCTGCCATTCAATAAGATCACGGCTGACCTTTTAACTCAACTTTGCCTTTGCATATCCTTCATAAATCTTAAATTCAAACTCTACCAATCTGTTCAGAATACTCTCAACTACTAAGCAGCCACAGTTTTCCAAGGTAATGATTTCTAAAGATCTGCAAGCTCTTGAATGAAAAAAAATACACATCTGTCTTAAATGGCTAACCTCTTAATCTGAGGCCGAGATATTTAGTTCTAGGTTTCCCAGTCTGAAGAAATATTCACCCAATATTCATCCTATTAAGTTTCTTTGGAATTTTACCTTCCAAGAAGATTGTTCTCAATCTTCTAAACTCAAGGACATATATAGGCCTATCCTACTCAATTTCTATTCATAGGACAATCACCTTATCCCAGGAATCAGTCTCGTGGATTTTTTTTTTAACATTCCCACCAAGGCATGTAATTTCTTCCTTAGTAAGGAGACCAAAACGTACAGAATCCTCCAGGTATGATCTCACCAAGACTCTATATAATTACAGTAAGACTACTTCATTGTTACTCTCCAACTCTATTTATAATACAGGCTGATGTGTCATTTGGATTGCACCTACTTTGATTTGTGTACAGGTTCCTCTGAACAGCCACATTTCCTAGATTTTCACCATTTTAAAAGTATTCTTTATTTTCCTTCCAGAATGCATAATTTCTTATCTTCCTGTATTACCTCTATTTGCCATGTTCTCACCCATAAATTTAACCTTGTCCATTTCCTTCTGCAGCATTTCTGCATCTTTCTCACTGCTTACTTTCCCATCTAACTTGGTATCATCATAAACTTTGATTCAGTCTACTCAGCACCCTCAAAGTCATTAACATAAACTATATGCTCAAGAACTGATCTTCAGTGGTACACCCCAAGTTACAGCCTGTTGTGGAAAGAACACATTTTCCCATTTTCAGTTGAAGCCTTCTGTTGAGTGGGGTTCATGGTGTCTGGTCTGCTATGTCAGCGACTTTTCTCACACAATCTTTATTTTTCATCTCTTTAATAATATACTGGGTTCTTCCTCACACTTCTTATGCAGTCACACACCAGGACAGGTGGAGATGCTCACCACTCCTGGGTCCTTCCAGCATTTGCATCACCAGCAACATATTTAAAGACCAGCTGCACATAATTTCAGACATGGATGTCAGGAAGTGGCCCTCACATTATGGTGTCCCATCATCACCAATGGTGATACAACAAATTAGCTCCCCACTTTACTGAAAGACCTAGTCGTACCATCATTTGCCTATTAATCCAGATCCACCTAACATTCTGGGGATTTGGGTTTGAATCCCACCAAGGCAGATGGTGTAATTTGAATTCAATAATAATCTGGCAATAAGAGTTTAATGATGATCATGAAACTATTGACGATTGTCAGGGAAAAGCCCATCTGGTTCCCTTTGGGGAAGGAATTTGGTCTGGCCTACATGTGACTCCAGATCACAGTAATGCGAATGACTTAACTGCCCGCTGGGCAATTAGGGATGGACTATAAACGCTGGTCCAACCAGTGACCCCACTTCACATGAATGAATAAAAATACTCCTAAGTATTTAGCATCCCAGTATCGTAATTAGATATAAACATATAACTCTCACTGTTGCACACATCATTTTCATTCAATTGTTCTCACCTCCCTGATCTTCCCAAACTACTAACCCTTCCTACTGTCTATGCTTCCTAATCACTAGGACACCTCACCTCCTCTCCTCCATTACCACCACATGCTCTTCCAACCACTTTCATCATCTTCAATCCCTTTGTTTATCTCATTTCAGAAAAAAACTGGCTCATCCCAGTAAAATAACACCTCCATATAACCCCAACTGAAGTATTTGTAATTCCTGTACTGGTAACACTTGATCTACAC